CTGGGGAGAGCAAGAGGCGGAAGATTGTCGTCGAAAACGTCTCCGACGCCGACGTCAGCGTACAGGCGGACGCCGAGTCTTCTGTGCATTGGGATCGGTCGCCGAGTTCTACTCCTCCGCTTTCACCGACTTCACCGGGTGATCCCGACTACGTCGAGGATGTCGTTCAGAATCGCGCGAACGACTTGCACAGGGAGCTGAGGCAGCTTTGGGACGAAAGGTACGACGAGGAGTACGATCCGAAAGTCCTCCATCATCTCAGTCTCTTGCTTTTCAAAAAGAGGAAGTCCACGGAGCCAGCGGACACTGATCCAGCTGGCGCTCCTCAGCCTGGCTCGGAATATGACGCGGCCTTTGCGTCTCAGGAGGAGACTGGCCGAGCCATTCTCTCTGTCCTTAAGCTTCGACATGACTTTCTGCGGAGCAAGAACATCGACGACATGCGCTACGTTCTCACGGAGCCTGAGCGCCAGGAATTGGTCAGAGTAGCTCGCGACCAGTACGAGCAGTCGCGGCAGCAGCGTGCGCTTCAGGAACGGGATGTCGAAAAGGGAAAAGCGAGAGGCAAGTCTGCGCCACAAGGGGGCCATGCGGTTCCGCAGGGTCCTAACAAAGGGCCAGGCGGTAAGAAAGGTTCTCACGGTGCTTCTCAGCCTGCGGGAAAAGGTGGCCAGGCCAAGGGTGCAGGTCTGGGTAGCGTCGCCAAGTTTGTGAAAGACCAGAAGCGTAAGCGGTGGCATCGCCATTTGCAACGTGTGGCCGGTACCAAACAGATCTGGGAGGTGCTGGCCTTCTCAGGGCGCTTCGACGTTGATTGGCTAACGCAAGCGTTGCAAGCTGATCACAGTGAGGGCCGTGATGCAGCAGTTCCCGAGGAAGCTCTGCGGCAACAGCGGCGCCGGCTGCGCCACCAGAAGGCCGAGGCCATCGCGCGCTACAACGAGGGGGAGCGGCTTTCCCTCCATCTGTCTGCCCAGGCTGGCCAGCCAAAGCCGAACTTCACGCGCAGGCAGCTGGACGTGTTGCAGATGTTTGAGAGCGGAGCGCTGCTTCAAATCCGCAACCAAGCGATTCTGGCGTTGGGGCACGGCCGTCTGTTCAGGGCCGATGGCGACTACCTGGACATCGGCGGCAGCACGGGCGGTGGCTCCAGGCGCATCATCGATTCTTGGCAGCCGCCGGACTGGCGTGACTTCCTCCAAGACGATCAGGACATCTGAGTTTTGCAAGTCTCCCTGCCCGCGGTGCTTCTCAGCCTGCGGTCTGCCGCTCTCCAGCTGCGGTCTCGAGCAGTAGTGTTCGAAAGCATGCGAGTTCCTGCGGTGCTTCTCAGCCTCTTGGGGCCTCTTGGGGGCCTCTTGGGGCCTCTTGGGGCCTCTTGGGGGCCTCTTGGGGGCCTCTTGGGGGCCTCTTGGGGCCGCTTGGGGGCCTCTTGGGGGCCTCTTGGAGGCCTCTTGGGAGCCTCCTGGGGGCCTCTTGGGGCCATCTTGGGGCCTCTTGCGACCTCCTCAAAAGCGCAAATGAGAGCTGCCCCCTGAGAAGGACAAAATGAGCCGAAAACCTTCGTAAAATCAATGATTTTGCTGTGAAGGAAGATGAGCGCGGCCCCCTCAGGACGCCAAAATGGGGCCAAAACCGTAGTACAATCAATGATTCTGGCTTTAAAGAAGAGGAGGGGGACCAGACGGTGCCCCCCCGTCGGGGCCAGAATCCTCGTGAGGGTCGTCGTTTTTTTAGCCCTCCCAGGAGTCGAAAAAGACCCCTCAAACGACCCGCGGGGCGCCCTCTCCAGGCCCAGGGGGAGGGGGTAGGGGGAGGGGTAAACCCCTCCCCGAAGGGGAAGAAGGGGGGTTGAGAACAGAGCGGGCTCCCTAAACCACTCACGCCCAAAGGGCTGGTGGGATTGATAAGGAGCAGTGATCAAACCCGAAGGGCGGCCGTAAGCCCTCGCGTTCCGCCCTCCCACCACATGATTAAAAGCCGAGTACCACCAGCCCTTGGAGGGCCTCTTGGAGCCTCGTGGGGCCTCTTGGGGGCCTCTTGGGGGCCTCTTGGGGGCCTCTTGGGGGCCTCTTGGGGCCTCTTGGGGCCTCTTGGGGGCCTCTTGGGGGCCTCTTGGGGGCCTCTTGGGGCCGCTTGGGGGGCCTCTTGCCCTGACTCTTACTCCGACTCGTGCAGTTCGCCTTACTCTTACTCTGACTCTTACTCTCACCGTTACTCTTGCTCTGACTCTTCCTCCTCCTCCTCTTCCCTTCTTCCTCGTCCCCCTTGATCTCGCCTCCCAGCTAGGAGCTCTGGTGTTTCCTCGGTCGTGCTTCGTTTTCTTTTGGTCGTGTAGCGTTCCTGACAGTCCAAGACCAGCTCGTCGTCGCCAGTCGCCAGTCGCCTGTCGACCGCCCTCCAGACGCTGTCTCAGATGATGTGGCTCGCCGTGGATGGTCCGTCTGGGCATGGGCGACGGTGCCGACGCTCGACCATGCGGACCTCGTCCTGGCTCAGAACCACCGCATCGCAGGTCCTTCGGAGGTCAATTGTTATGAGTTCGGCACGGTCTCGGTCAAGTACAGCGTGCTGTGGGGATCCCGAGATGGGGCCTGGCTCAAGGTGCTCAAGACGTACTGGAGTGTCCCAGAGCCGGAGTGCCAGCTGATCCTCGGGAGTTGGAACGGCATTTTCAGGCCGTGGCCGGACGCGTTCTGGATCAGGACGGGGGGGTCCGAGCCCGAGATGGAGTGCTAGCGCTCTGCAGTACAAGTGCTTCTCAGCATGCGACATCCTGCGGTGCTTCTCAGCCTGCAGGGTTCGCAGCGTGCGGTTTGTAATGCATTCCTTTTCAGTATGCGAGTTCCTGCGGTGTTTCTCAGGTTGCAGGGCTCCGAGGCTCTTCGCTTCGATGCCAATGTTTTCAGACACCGTAGCTCCGTTCCGTAAACATCTTCCAAGAGCCGCTCGCAACCTTTTGCAGCTGGCGGTCTGCAGACTTAGTCTGTCTCAGCATGCGAGCTCCCGCACGCTTCGCCGGCTTTTGCTGCGCGGACAATTTTCTCACACACGTCAGCGCCGTTTGTAGGCGTCAGAAAAACATGTAGACATTCACGAAGGGCTCAGTCTGTATATCGTCACATCATTACATACGCAGTCGTCGAACACATCGGTGTACATTCAGCGCTTTGTCCTTCTAGCTGGGTCGCTTCGTGCTGAGGCTGAGGCTGACGCAGGCTGAGGCTGAGGCAGGCTGAGGCTGAGGCCGAGGCCGACGGCAGACTGAGGCTGAGGCTGAAGCAGGCTGAGGCTGAGGCAGAGGCAGGCTGAGGCTGAGGCTGAGGCTGAGGCAGGCTGACGCTGAGGCAGGCTGAGGCTGAGGCTGAGGCTGATGCAGGCTGAGGCTGAGGCAGGCTGAGGCTGAGGCCGAGGCCGAAGGCAGACTGATGCTGAGGCTGAAGCAGGCTGAGGCTGAGGCTGAGGCAGGCTGAGGCTGAGGCAGGCGGAGGCTG